CAACAGCAACGCTTCGTGATTTGAATCGGGAGATAGTCTATAATTAAGGGTTTTATAGGAGAATGAGTGAGGATTTAATGATAGTCCATTGGGCGCCCTATAACGTGACCAATACGATTTCATCGCAAAACAAATCGATCCCCTAGGCTTCGTAAAACTCACCCTGCAGTTGTTGGATGGTAGCTTGGTACTCGGCGAGTTTTTCGTCCACGTAATCTTGACTCTGGCTGGCGATGATCTCGGCTGTGCTGGGACCGCTGCTTTCATCGTCCGTCTGCGTATGGTCTAAGGGCACGCCAATATATTCGTAACCCCCAGATCTGTAGGGTGCTATCAGATATTCCGGCGGCGCGCATGGTATCGGTGACGCCGAATCGCTTCTGAAAGAACTCTGTAAATTGGGAAGAAAAACATTTTAGCATTGATATCTATCGCGTTCTTTTGTTGCTGAAGAACTTTAACAAAAACTTGACACAAGTTTCATCATTTTTTTATTCAGTTTTGCATGAAATAAAATTATATTTTTTAAAAGAGAGAATAGAAAAAAAGAGTCTCTCAAAGTAAATCTTGTGATTATTTTAATTATTAAGAATTACTTTAAAACTACAATGTATTTTTCTTTTTAGAACTATTTTACCTTGATGCACCCTTTGCATAAACATGACAACTTATATTTGTGTTATATTGAATTAAACACTCGAGTCTGAACAACCTGACAAGTACTGCAACACGCAATATGGACATACATCGACGACACATTACTATCGATCTGTTATCCTTCGTGCTACAGGAATACGTACTTGCGTCGGTATGAATGGCCTTGGCGCTTGACTACCCGTAGGAATCGGTGAAGGCCACCGTGGCCTTGGACATTGGATGTAACCGGAAGTCGGGCAGCCGAAGACGGGCGACATCCCGGGTGAGATTGGCATCCCGATCGGCACCGGGCTCATCGGATGCATCATTATGCCGGGATAAACGAGCGGTGACATAGGATGAATTGGATGGACCGGAGTCGGAGGCCCGCGCTGGAGTCGTCCTTGCGGATGCGGCGATGAGGAAGGTGTGTATGGCGAAGCGGGCCTGAAGGGACTTGGCGCCCTCGGCATATTAGATCGTCCTGACCAGCCACCCGGAGGCACATGGCCTCCTCCGGGTGGCCTCGACGGATGCTGTTGCGACATTTCGAACCACTTCAACTACTCGCCGCTTCGCTTCGCTTGTAGGCTAGCATCGCTATAAGAGAGCGATTCAGTTGAACTTTGATTATCTGAACGCCAATTAACATTAGAATTGTGTTAATATTAGAATATCTGCCTCCCAGCTTTAAATGCAAATTGGTCTTGATTACGCATTTTGCAGTAGGAAACAATCGCTTACATCTATGTATTTCTAATCTCTTATATCTAGTCGTGACATTTGCATTAAATAAATGAAAATATTGCAACGCGTATAATCATGCGTCGATTTTATAAGCCAAAATAATCCTAATGTTAATTGATTTGATAAAAAGAATTGGAAATATAGTTAAAATTATTACTTGACAGTCTTGGATATATTTGTCAATAAAATTTCAGTCACGTACTGTATTAGATAAAATCGCGGAATATTGTTCCGTTTAATACAAGCAGTTTGGAACGAGACACAATCTGACGTTTGATTGACAGTGATCATTTTTAGGAAAACAAAAGTCCACGGATGAACTTTAAGACACTAAATGAACTCTGGGTCGCATAATAGCGTCGGCTATTCGACATGGCACATGGCCAAAAGTTTCTCGAAATAGGTGAGTACTGTTGTACGTATGTACCTATGAACTCTTGCACACTAATGCGAAAAGAAGGTATCCGCGTATAATTATCAAAATGTCAGAGAGAATGCGGGCACGCGAGAGAATAACGGGAGCGGAATATAATAAACAGAAGTCACGGCGCCATCCAATAAAACAGTTGGATTTCTATTATTTCAACAGTGAGGTGTAATATACGTAAATTTTGGAAATATCTGCCAGTTATAATAATAAGTGTATTCTAACGGGCGTTTTGTATAATATTTTCGAAAGTGTACCGAGAAGCATTTCGACAGATTTCGGCCGTAGAGTTCGTTGATACCAGAGATTTTGGCAACTGGAAACGGCAGCCTATATCTATTCTCTATTCAATTTCGGCGTCTATTTAATTTCGGCCAGACGCATCGAATGCGTCACACCCTTCTCGTAATTACCGCATTCGTCATATTTGTACGTACTTCTTTGGAACATTACCAATTTACAGAAAATAGTTTTTTTCTGTACAAATATTATTTTATAATATATCAGGTTAAATAGCAATGTCAAGATTTTCGAATAGCCAATTTTGTTAATTCTCACCGTCTCTTGCGCTTCTTTACGTCTCTAACTCACATGCACTAGCAATGAAAGGTATTTCTCGGCCTCCTTCCATTGTTCTGCCAAGCCATTTTACGTGCCGTAAAATCGAAAGAGGAAGTCTGTGCGTTCTGAACATGCGTGGACGAAAAGTCTTAAGCTTTTTAGCCAGATACCGAGTGTAGGCCGGCTAAATATAGCGCTATTTCTATTTTCGATCAGCGCGGCGGCGTTTATACACGCGCCCGACAAGCCGGCAGGTATCGCAATGACTGCGTCGGGTATTTCGGAAACTGACACGGATATTAACAGCTGTAATCGTCCATCGCGGTCGCGCCGCACCGGTTTGACCACACATGTGGAGTACGAAGCAATCGTTTGACAAATGTAATCCCGAATCGTCGATATAACAATCGATCTCGCAAATAAATCTTAAAAGGTGTCTTCGACTTCTTTGTGATCTGCTATTGTTTGAGAATAATTTGAACTCGTTTTCCAAAAGCGCAATTAGCATAAACGAGAATGTAAAATATGACAGACTCGAACGAAGCACGTTTCCATTGTTTGAATCTTGTTGCAAAACTACAGTGCTAGTCTGTAATTTAACAGCAATTTATACCGTTCTTTGAGAGTTTGTGAGAATCTGTCGCTATGTCATTCTTTTCGCTATGACAGAGTTGTACCATCTATGTGTTCTCATGCATAACATATACATTCCTCTGTCATAACTCTAGAGTATATTAACAATATAAAGCACGAACAATAGGACATTACAGTAATAATTAAAGCACTAATTTCCAAGAATGTGGTAAATAAAAAATAAAGCTTCGAATAAAGCTTAGCCTCTTTTGAATCTTTATAATTTAAATTGATTTAATTGTAAACGTTAACGTTAGAATCGCAATAGTAGCATTTTGCTTGCTATTTAAAACATTGAAATCTTGATCTTGGTCACACAAGGTAGAACGAAAGCCAGGGAAATCTCAGTCAGATCGCTGGAAAATTTAGTATGATGGAGAATGGATCAACGTGCCAGTCGAACGTTAGCGGCACGCTGGATTCTGGACCTCAGATGCTGCGTCCAAAAATAAGATTTCTCTGCTAAATTGATGATCAGAAATAGTTAGCGTTCGGAATGGATGTCACTGACAGAATTGTCCGGCTTGCCGGTCCAGCAATTATTATTGGCGTTCACCCTCATCCATCAACCCCGTGACATTATCGGCGATCACGCTACAAACGCAGATTCTACGTACTGTTGAATGAGCTTCGCGATAACTCAACTTTAGTGCATACGAGATTTATTCGTTGCATTTGCTTTCGAGAGTATCTCAAGTCGATTCGTTAAATTTGACTTTACGCGTATTATATTGTTGCAGATCATCTTTTTATTAAGTTTTTAGATAATCTGAAATTTTAAAAAATCGGAAAAAATTTTGACTGCCGTTGAAGGACTTGTTTTATCAATATCAGTCATGATAGAGGGTAAACATTCTAAGATCCAATTCTTAGTATCGCAAAAAATTAACTAGACTGATGATTAATAAAATTGTTATAAATTACGCAACCATCCGTAACCATCGCATACGCAAGCAAACAACCACCCACGCGAATTGCAAAACAGAACATTCTTAGACCTTTAATCATAATTTTAATATTATAAATTCTTTTATATTATATTTTTACATGCTAAATTTAAATCTTTAAATTTTTACCTCTCAATTTACTACACTCGAGAATTATTAGTGTTTTAGCACTGTAGATAAAGAGAAGCTTATTACAAATCTGACAACAATTTTGGTGCAGCAAAATTATTATCAAATATCCTGGGTACATGTAACACAAATTACCGGCAAATCCAGAAAATTCCAACTGACGATCTCAATGATTGAGCGATCTCGCATCAATTGAAATTAAATTTTACTCTAAAAATCACACTTTTTACTCGTTTTCGCTTTCGTTGGGGATTCACTGCGAAACTCGCGGTTGGCCGAGGACTAATCACGAGCGAGGAACTTGATTGATTATACTAACTAAGATTGGGATAGCGAAATACAGAGAGAGAGAAAAAGAGAGGAAGAGAGAGGACGATTTCTATGTCGGATCTCGCGACGCGAACTACAGAGAGACTGGTCCCGGCGCTGGATCATCGATCCAGGATGGGCGTCGCGACGCTCTCTCTCTCTCTCTCCCTCTCTTTCTCTCTCTCGCGGCCCGCATTTATATTTAACTTTGGCATCACTCGACATTCGACTTAGCAGCACTGCTCGTCCTTTACTCCTCGCCCTCCAACGACGTTGCCCTCGTTCTCGTTGCCTTCTCTTCTTTCGACGGGCTCGCTTCTTTTTATTCATTCCACCCCGCGTCAAGGAGCGGGTGCGAGGTGCCCGTGCCGGTGCCGGTGCCGCGCTATTATCACCGATGAGCCAACGGCCATCGCTCATCGATAATTTTGGTTGTTCATTACGAAAATGTGTCCAATGACGCGTGACTGAATAACGATCGAACGTACTACTTGCGGAAATGATTTTGCAGGACGACGACCTGATCGTGCATTCTTCGTCGAGATAGAACAGAGATGTGCCAAATTCTAGACACCACTTGTGCATCGAAAAATATAGGAAAAATTGCGATATTTTTTAACGCTTACATATCTTTAATAAATTCACTTTACTGATAAAATGAAACGTTACAACCAAGAAAAATGCAATATGTAACTATAGTAAATATACAATTTGAATAAACATAAAACAAATTGTTTACTAAATAAGCGCATTAATACACACATATATGTATACATATTAAACATTTATCTTGTAACGTGAAAGCGATATCTAATATAATCATTCGAATTGTATTATGCATTTAGCATTCTTACTTTCACTCTTGCAATAATATCCGTAAAAATCGAATCTCCCTCGTTTTAATCCTCTAGAGGGAATGGTCCATCTCCGATAGGTCTGTTATCATTTGCAATTTTCCCAGGAACACATTTAGCCGCATATTCCAAGCATACTAAATCACGACAGCATTGGTCGGTGACCTGACACTAATCATAACAATTTGTTATAGCGAATATCTTGCTTTATATATATTGATTGCAATATATTAGAATTATAAAGAGCTAAAATTCTAAAAATATAATTGTGCTCATATAAAATTTTCATATAAAAGAAATCAAGCTCTAATATAATATCTTTATTTTCCATTATACTTACATATTCGAGCCAGGGAGAGCATACTTTCTCAAAATCTTCAGAACTAGGAGCAGCCGTTATGCTGTTGATAGCGATCATAATTAAAGCGAATACCAAGCACTTCATTATAACGCAGAAGTTTGCTGCAAATATTTAATTAAAAAATTAAATTAACAGTATCCGAATGCATTAGATTAATGACACTCGAATATACAATATGATTAATGATATTAATTAAAAGAAGAATATACATATTTTTCAATGCAACTGGCATTAATATGTGCACAAAACTCTAATATTATTAACAATAAGTTAGATACCAAAAATTTTTAAGATTGAAAAGACGCTAATGATTTAAGAATACTCGTTCAACAATTATATAATGAATTCTCATAAATTCATAGAACAACCATGATAATCTTATTTGAGAAATCGTAACTGATAACAATTGATAATACTCCAATCGTTTATTTTTTTTTTATTTGTAGATATCTCCGTAAAGATATAGATCTGATATGTAGTTTACTTGATCCTATTACTTGCATAAAAGCATTTTACGAATGTGAAACGTTTCTGTTGAAACTTATTTAAGACAAATTATTTTTTAAAGATTTTTTCTTGGTCTTAGAATACAAAAATTGAATCAAAAAATAAAAATATAAAAAGATTGAATTGGGTCCAATATAGTGGTTGTAATAAATATATTTTTAAATTGTAATTGAAATTTTCTACTATAAAACATTTTTAAGCTGCAACATAGAGTTATAATTTAACTATAATATAATAAAATATAAATATAAAAACATTAATAATAATAATAAATAAAATCCTGAAGTTTTTAATCTGTTATATATCTGCAAAGTATTAATGTTTACTCTTTCTCTTTTTTTTCTCTCTCTTCTATCATTATGAAACATGAGTTTTATTTATACCTTATACATAATCTAAATGTTATGAGACATGTGTATTATCACAGTCATGTTTTAATGATTGTCATGTTTTAATGATAGTCGTGTGATAACGCAAAAATATAATGCACCATGTCAAGCCTTTTACGACGTCCAAAAACGCTTCGAATTTTGCTACATAAAATTTTTTATATTTTATATTAGTATTTCATCACAATATTTTACTGAAGTTTAAACATACTTATAAATAATTCTAATTTTTTGTATTTGATCTAATCAATATTTGTCAGAGATATAACTTGTTAAAAACATATCGAAACATATACGTCTCATGAAGGAGTTAAAAAAAAGTTAAGAGAATAAAATACTTACTAATTTCACTGGGAGAAATGTGCAATACGACTTCCGTTGACACTCTGGAGCGGAACGAACATATATACACAATTTTGTATATTTATCTTATCTCATTAATGAAATTTATGTCGCGTAACAATTAACATATACATATTATCAGTTCATTTTACTCTTAGATACGTTCAAGTGATAAATGTGTATACATATATTCATTAGACTGCAGTATCAATAAAAATTGACGCATTCTACTTTTTCAAAATAAATAGGAACGTAAGGCATACAAGTATCATTTAAAAATAAAAAAATTGTCTAAACAAATGTTTTGTGACACACATGATCACTTTTTACATCTTTTTTACATCTTTTTTAAATTTACGAGCTTATACCAATCAGCAGCTATTGAATTTTTTTCATGGTTTATCTTCTGACATGAAAATATCAGTTACTCTTTGTTATATAATAAACGAGAGTGGGAAATGACTTAACTTCAACGCAAAAAAGATAGTTAACAGATGCCAAATAGATTAAATGTTTAAGTATTCTGTAGATACTTCCTTTTATTTTTAAATAAAGATTGGATTATAGTCCTTAAATTATATACAAGATTTTTGTAACTGAAATTGATCAATGTTTATCGAAATAAAACCATTGGTATAACTGGTATAAGTCGTTACAATATACAAATTGTTATAAATTGTTACAAACTTCAATATATTTTTCCGTATATGTATATAGTTCATTAAATTCTTGAGACAAGATGTGAAAGATTTATTAACATTATTGATTCGATAATATCTGTTATAAAGCTTACGGAGCAACGCGCTTTGATGGCAAAGGAAACTTTGATCGCAATCGCATCTATTCTGTATGTGCGCGATTACGTTTTCACATAAAATAAAAATAAATATATTAAGCCATTCTATACAGAGATATAGACGTATACGTTGAGGAAAGAATCTTAACTACTACATTCATTTTCATTTCCAGTTGCAACATTTTGGATTAATAATTTGAAAAAGGTGTGTTTTTGTAAAAAAAACAACGAATTCTAAATAGTCTTCTATCTGCAAAACTTTATTCCATTTAGAACAGAGGTAGAGAATAAAAAGTTTTGAATCTTTGGCATTCAGTATTAGGCTCTAATAACGTATAGGTCGATTATAAAAAATTTATCACGTAAAAAGAGATATGTCATAATTTTCTTTTTTACACATATATATCAACTGGACGTATGAATTTACACAATTTATCTTAAATTTTTAAGAACAAATTAGACCTATTAACTGTGAAAGTGACATTAATATCACGATCCTTTCGAATTACACTCTGCTACGAAACAAACGAAAAGGATATTTTAAATGACAATGATGTCTTTCACGTGTTCACGTACGCAGCTGACAGTCTGTATGTGCAATTCAAGAAACGTGATAAATGCACATGTGCAGGATAATTAGCAGACAGCCGAATGCACTTTCGTGCCAAACTGCCTCTAGTGAATGCAATAAAATTTCTAATTATTGCGATATGTTCGTAACTAGATAGGAACTACTAAGATGTATTTAAAAGCTATGAAATTTTTAATTGACGAATAAATTTATTGATAAAACTATAGAATTGCGTATTTAAAAAAATCGACTTCAAAATCGATTTTAATAAAAACGATCTCGCGCGTAGGTTTAAATAACATACTATCACTGAAGCGCGTTAATTATATCTTTACAAGCATTACGACGTATCGACTTCCATTGCATATTACGGTCAGCACAGCGTATCGTGATAGAACGACATATATATTTATAAATATACTATAACAGAACATTATACAAAACAACAAGCGTTTCGGCAGCGGCCGCTATTGACTCGATTTCTCTCTTTCGTAATGTATATACTAATAACAATATAATATATATAACATAAGTTAACGTCATTTTAAATATAGCTAATTAGCTACTAACGATTATCTTACATTGCCATATCGTCCTCTCGTTCGAGTATAATAGTATAAAATTGGCTAGTTTGGTAGATAAAAAGGTACGAATATTCATTGTACATCGTTTATCGATTGACTTTCTTCTTGTGCGCTTTCGTTTTCCACCTGCATAAAATGAGGTAGTTCGGCCTTCGTAGCCAACTCCAATGCGTGCATCCATCTAAAAAAAAATATATAGATTAGTGTTATTTATTCAACCTAACATAACACAAATTATAGATTATCTCAAACAATTTCTGTACCCACTTTTCCTTGTCCTCTTGAGAAGACGCTTGAAGATAGTAATATTTTCTCGAATGATGCATCTTGAATGCCCTTATACGATCTTTTGTGTTCAAGGGGTCTTCGTCGGGTAATTTTGTACCTTCCGTAACCATAAAGCCTGGCATAGGCGTCGCTGTCATGGCCAAGCTCTCCGATTCCGATTTGAACGAATACAAAACGAAGTCAACGTGCAACGAGAACCATCGCTTTGTCCAAGGCTTACTGGCCTGCGTTTTCAGTAACAGGTATCCGGATAATACCGATGGCGCGCTCGCAGATACCTGTAGCAAACTTGGCACTGGTCCAGACGGTGACGACGGCGATTTAGTGAGCGGTTGGGTGAGCGCGGCATGGCATAATCTGCACACTCTCATATTCTTATTGTCCTCAAATAATAATTTCTGATTTGAGCATTTACTACAAACCACCTGGAAACAAACGGAATTATCACATAAATGTTGAATAGTTTTATTATTATTAAAATAATTTGTAACGAGAGATTAACTTCAGTGCACATTACTCACTATTCCACAAGCCCGACAATTGTGCTTTCGTTTCATCACAGAAAAACTAACTTCGCAAACCATGCACCTAGTTACGTCATCAGCTTTAACCAAAGAAGTTTTAACATTCCCAGTTTTCAGACTGGCCTTGCGTCTCATAATCTCCTGCATCGTTTGGAACAGTGCATCCAGCCACGCTGCCTTCTCTGCGGCACCATGTGTATATAATTCGACGCTTTTATTTTCGTCCCTTACGTAAAAAGTATTTGCGGTTTCTAGATTGTCTCCTTCGACTACTTGTAAATTTTCCACCATAAATTTAGCTCTTAATCGGTACATAGGCCCGGGTATCAGTCTTATTGAGCAGAGTAATAATAAATCGCTAAACTGAAAAGATAGTTCTAATTGAATATATTTGTATATGTGTATATTTTATAAATATTAATATAATATGTAAAATAATTAATAATTACCAAAAACAAATGTCTCTCCTGATGATCCCCACTACGCGCTGAGATTTTCACTATACGTCCTTCCTTTATTAGTTCGCGAGTCGCACTGACTAGATCAGTTGCATCATATATGCTCTCTTGGATTTCCAAAAGCTTTTTAAATTTGTCGATTTTTTTCATTGCTTCGTTTGTATGATTTGCGGCGGTTGACACTAATTCCAAAGCCTCTGAAATTTAACATTACAAATTTCTTAATGAACGTAATTATATAATTTATAAAAATAGATATATACGCTCATAATTTCGGAAAACATAAAAAAAATATGTATAATTTTACTTACTCTTTGTGTCTTCGTAATCCGGATTGTCTTCGGTGAGATTTCGTAAATAATCCTTGAGAAGTAGCTCGTATCGCGGCAACCTCTGTATGGGACTCAACATGTGATGTGCTAACGACAATTTAGCACATTCATCCAGCTTCTGAATTTCGTTAACAATCGCTGCAAATCTGGGAACTTTGTTTTGCAGTGTGCTTATCAAATTCATAGCGTAGTCAAAATTCTTTACGTATTCCGTATACATTTTGAGAAATGGCGCAAAGTTCTTCATTATATCGCCGATTTTCGGATTTGAATCCCAACATTGCATCCTTTCTTCAAATTGCGGCAATAGAAAGTCGTTGTGGAATTTATAAATAGATTTAATATTTGAAAACATGTGCTGGACAGTCTCTGGAGGGAACATCGGATGCGCTCTGTTTTCCTGATCGACCCTGAATTGGAACACCTGGTCGATCAGATGTAGAATGTTCACATAATTTTTCTCAGTCGCTAGTAACTCTTGCGCCACACGTAACGCCTTCTTTCGCTTCAAATCAGGGGAACCTTTCTTCGCGAGCAGTTTAGGCTCCGATATCGACTCTTCCGTATGATCAGCCACTATGGCGGAATCTGTTTCCGACGATCTTGTCTCTTCCGACTCTTCCTCGCTCTCGGATTCGCTTACCGCGTAGGTATCTAATGTATACTGATGAGACCTCCTCTCCGAAGCTACGTACCTGCGTTTGTTTTTAAATAATACAAGCTTTAAAAAATGTTTTTAATTAAAGATTATACAAGATTATACATTGCTCTGTTTTCATGAGATCTCCACACACCTGCTACTTCTATACTCTAGGACACTATGCGACATTTTAATATAGGACGTCTCCGTTGAAGTCTCCTCGTGCCTCGTGATGTCGATGCATTCAGCGGGCGTGGAAGCGGACATGACAAACGACTGAAATCGTGGGAAGCCACCGAAACTGGCGATCCTGTGGAAGGAATGTCTGACGTATCGTTGCTCCTCAACACTCGTTGCCGTGTCCGAATCTTGCGAGTTCCCATTTTCGCTGGTCGTGCTCTGCTGCTCCGGCAAACGTGGCGCTTTGGAATGTTCGTCCTCCTGCTGAAGCTCCTGCTTGTCCTCCGTGATTTCCAGATCGGTGTAAAACGTGCTGGTGGGCGAGCTGTTTTTCGAACCGAACATCTTGAACCCCTCGGTCATCCGACTACTACCGTCTCCAGGCTCCGGGAATAAACGCGTCATCCAGGATGAGATGTCCCTCAGCTGACTTCGCTGCATCCTACGGTCAATCATGTTGCTAATTGTAGACAATTATCGCGTATCTCGCACACAGGGACACGAACAGAGAAGAAACGATATTACCGGCGATACTACGTATGGCACGCGTATGTGGCATGAACTATGCATTTAGAAATGCAATTAGAAAAATATGTTAACATTACAGATATGTTTGTATTTCGTAATATTTTGACCGATAGCATTATAAGCTCGTCAAATAAATCACAAATCGTTATAAATCATTACGGACACTCTAATGATTATGACATGTCTCTTCTTCAGCTTTTGGTAACAATAAGTATAAAGAAACATTGTTCATACACGCGTGTTACTCTTATCGCAATGCTGACTCATTAGTCTATACTCGATATAAGGCTGAAACTTTTTTTTCTTTATGACGATAAATCACGCCGTTAATCCGTTTTATATCGCAATAACGCGAACCTATCGCGCTTCAAATTTCACACCGCTTTTCCGATGCAAACGTATACGGGATACATTTTATTTAGCCGGATATTATGGATCTCGAGCCTAAGATGTATGTAATATTTTCATTCGTGGTTCGATATGATGGTTCCGAAATAACGAGTGCGCGATAGATCTCTCGGGGGAGGCTATTTAAAAACGCATCCTCCTCTTAGATCGATCCATTACGCTAAAATTAACGTGCCGGTTCGTTCCAGCGTGCGGGCGAGAACGCTCGCGTCGGCTTCGCTAATTGACACTCGGCGTGATTTGAGCAGAACGAACGACCAAACGAACGAGCGAACGAACGAATAAACGAATGGACGAATAAACGAACGAACGAACAAACACACATGCCTGCAAACGCACGTAAACACGCAATTTCTGTCTGTACTCGCGTATATTCATTTCAAAGACACGAGAGCGGTCTTAATTTTTTTTGTTGAATTTTTTATGTTAAATTCGTTGTTTTGTGAATGACATAAATATCGTGCGTGTAGAAAAATGGAATTAGAATTCACGGTTAAACATTGCATCTTCTATAACGATCAACAAACTCGAAAATTCACGTGTTCAGCACTAAATTTTCAGTCTAATTTGTCGACGAATATCATCCTAGACATGCCTAGACTCGCCGTTTTCTGATGCTACATCTGCGGCGTAAATACAGACGACTATTATTATCTTATATCAAGGCATCGTCGGAACCGGCAGAATGAATGCACGACTATCCTCAAACGATTAATAGGCTGGGATTCACTTTAAAATGTTCTCGAACGCGGCTTTCCACTTTGCACTTTACGTCCTGTTTCTAGTCATGACTAGAGAGAAGTGGAGAGACTTATCTAAATTTATATTTATAACAGCACAGAGGAGTCCAAGGCGCAAAATCGTCTCCGTGGCACAGAGAACGAAATCGTCTTGAGGCAATATAGAATTGATAATATTTAAAGCAGTAAAATTATTATCCATTTTCATCCATTTCTATCTCAAAAATTAAAGTTTTGTACAAGAAACGAAATAATAAAATAAATCCATAATTTGTAAGATTCGACTTTCGGTAAAAGACTAGATATCTAAAATAAACTTCATAAAAAAATGTTATCTACTCTAATATTTATTTATTCATTCTGATTATTTAAAATTTAAAATCTGGCCATTCCCAGTAGTCTGACATTTCCTAGTTGCTAAAGAAGATGTAGTAATTAATGCATCCGAGTAGAAATCTGATTTTACCATCTCTCAAAGCAATTTAAAAGATAGCCAGCAAACAGATACATTTTTAAAAATTAAACGCGAGTAACTAAAAAAAAAAAGTTTGAAAATATCTGATAAATTAATTGTTTTGCAGTACTTTGATTTATACCTATTAATTTTAATTTTCCTTTCCTTTCCTACATTCAAAATTATATTCTAAAAATACAACCAATCAAAAAATAATTGCTTCCTGAATTTATTGTAACATGAAAAACTAGAAATAAAAAAAAATTCTAAAAATGCAAAGTGCTATTTATGTCCAGTGTCCAGTTAAGGCTGAATTAATGGGTAACTCAAGCGGCAAATTACTCGTTCATACTGTAATCAACAAAACATCACGAAAGGACGTGAGTCAAAGCAATTTGCCCGTTCTCGATCAATTTCGCGAGACGTAAGATGTTGGCAGTTCCAAAAATATCGAGTACCCCTGCCGGGGGGTAAAGGGCGGCAGGTGTATAACGCGGCTTCCGTCATTTAAGGTACTACGCCCTTCGTCTTCTAGCGGAGTCCTGTTGACCGGCGCGGATCTATCTTCGCGCTGCACCTCTCTCCTATCTCTCCTACCTCTCGAAAATGAAACACACAGAGAGCCGGCGGAGTCGATGCTGCGCAGCGAGGAAAAGCGGAAGAGAAGCGTATATATGAGGAGCGAGGAGGACAGAGAGGGAAAGAGAGAGAAAGAGAGAGAGAGAGACCGCGCTCAAGTACCATCATTACCTTTTGCCTCGGGATCGCACGTAGTGTAGCGGAACAGCAACAGGCACACGCGGAGCATCGGCGCGAGCATAATGATCGTTTTTTAGGCGAAGCAAAGCCAGATATGCTAGACCGATCTTACTCTCAAGCTCAAAGCTCAGGCGGAATCACCGGTGTCCATAGTCGTCCGTGCGACGAAACGGATGATTAGGTTGATGGTTACCGCATCGCGACACAACTGTGTATCCGCGCGCTCGCGGCGATTGCTGACGTGAGGTTGGTTGACGCGACGGGCTTGCACAAGCGCGAGATACCGGGACTCGATTAAAAAACGATGAACGAGTCGCGACACCGAAAACCGGACGTCGCACCTCAAAACCTCAAAGTGTCGCACGGATGCACTTGTCGAACTTGCCCAGACGCCGATGTGAGTCTATGACACGCGAAGCGGTGGTGCACCGCGGTCAGGTACTCCGATTTACACACAGGTCGTCTGTCAGTCGGATGCGATGCGCGTGATGCGCGTCGACGCGTCGTCGATGCCGTCGATACTGAGCTGCCTTCGCAGCTCGCGACGCCAACGACATCGACGGCGTTACGCGTAACTAAAAGACCCTTTAATTCTCCGATGGTAACTAAACTGCAAACCGATGGTAATACTAGTTGTTACCCGCAGAGGTAATAACTTATAGTCTGCAAATATAAAAATTCAAATTGAATTAGATAACATTTGATGACAAAGAAATATTACAAAAATTGATACTATATTATGTATGCTATACAAACAATTGTAAATTATATTAGTTATAAAATATAAATTAAACGTCCAAAATTTTCCAGCTTTCAATCATAATCAAACATGAAACGACCAGTAATATCAAATGTTATGTTCTTTATTTTTGCTGTTTTCACTTGTTTTCAATAGTTTGTATTCTTTACAGCCTCTATAAAGAACCGAGTATCGCGTTTAGTACATGTGCAAAAATAATTTGCATTGATTCAATGAAGTAGTATCTCTCGGCGCGAAAAAAACGCATCAAGTTATAAAGATGCACTCAAATTTTTGATTCTATATAAATGTGCAAAACTGTAATAATAATAATAATATTAATACATCACTCGCTTCTACTGCAGCATAAAAGTTATCACAAAATTCACAATAAATTGCAAAACACATGATAGTCGCACGAGAGATAAGTACTACGTTCAATAATACGAATAATATTGCAGGACTCGTGCAACACACAAATATGTACTTATATCAGATTGTGGATAAAAACTTAAAGTAGTTCACAATAGAAGAGATATTTAACAACGCATATGTACAATGAAATCCGAAGATACTAATATATAACACAGTCTATTTAACATCATTTCTCGTACTGCAGTTAATTAATTTTATTTAAATCGTATTCGCTATTATTTATACAGTGTCTTCTAGATTCTTTTGTACCCTTTGCCACTTCGCCACCATGCTTGACATCTCCTTGTGTTTTTTGCTATTGCTGATCCTCGCCTAAAATACCAGCAAGTATGGAATATTTGACTAATCGATGTACATATGTTTAGTTTATTTAACTTGTCCAATATCACTGAAATATGTACTACTTGAAAAAATTTCTGAAATATTTTACTATTTTAAAAAGAAAATAAGAAGCGCAAAGATGTACTTCGTTGCAAACAATTGTATGTAACATTCATTTGCAAAATTACTAAATATAGTTAATCTCATAAAGTGAAGAATTGGGTAAAATTCGCTTTTTATATCAATACTTTATTCAATACTTATACTTATATCAATACTTATACTATTTTTATTCCAGAAAAATGATACCGAAAGAAATAAATACGATGATAAGCAGAAATACTACCTTCTTTTTCTTCCGCTCCTTCATCATCGTATCGCTGGACACAGTTTCCGGTTCCATTTCCGGCTTCGCTTCTTCGGTCGGAATAGATACTTGCTCCGTCACCGTGGCAGCGACATCCTGATGCTGTCCTGTCCGTTCCGTTTCCGTCTGCTCGATACGCGCAATATCATTGTAAAAGGAATCGAGGGCAGATCCCAAAGATTCCTTCGAGGCCTTGACCGGCGGCTTGGCGATGATTTTGTTGTTCGTATAAATTGGCGCATATCCCACCATGAACTGAATTGCACTCTGTCCAGGATGCTTATTCGCAACTGCGATTGTCTGCTAACAAATACAGATACATAAATTACTTGCACAAAGTTTTCATATGTATACAAACTTTTATAAAATTATATATATTTTACAATTATTTTTATTTCTATATTTATTATATGTTTGCTATATTTTTCATTATATATATAAGAAAATATATTTAATATACATTTTTGTCAATGTATTTTCTTCATATATTTATTGTGCGAAATATACTATCGTATCTCTAGCTATCTGTATTTCTACTATATGCTACAAATACGTGACGCCTATTCATTAATATTCAAACATAGAGATGTGTGTACTTACGTTATGCAAATGTTGATGGAAAGTTGGATAATGAACAAACGGCTCCTGGAGTAGACCCGCCTGATGGCTTAGGATAGGTATTGTTGGATCAGCAATCGAAGGCGCGTAAATAGCATTACTTGGCTGCGACGCCGCGTTATATATTATTCCTTTCAGGGTGGCAGCTTCGTAAGACGTATCTGGCAAGTCCACACCAGGCGGTAGAGGCTCCATATTTACATGATTTGGAGGTATCGAAGATTGAGATGACGCAGCCACCTGTGGATGTGCGTAGGACAAAGATTCTAAAGCAGGATTCACCATCTGCGTGTCCAGAGCCATTATTCTCTCTGTGAACAGAATACAATCTTTCTGTTTATATTTTATCTATAATTATATTTACTTTCAATTATATTTTTAGGTTTCATAATTATATATAATAATTCTCGTATAATTGTTTAATAAAGACCTAATTAATTTGCTATAACATGCAAGTGCAATGCTATGATACAAACAATAATGTAATAAACCCCGTCGTATTGCAGTACTAATAATAATCATTACCTTTCCCTAAACGCCTCCTCTTTGCGTCTAAGAATTTATCATCGGGCTTTTCCCTTTTCTTCTTGTCCTTCTTCAGATCTTCCGCGAATATTCTCGGGGGCGGTGGTGGACTTGGATTTGATATCTGTGGCGGAGGTGGTGCTTCCAAGGTCGCAGAACGTCTATCCGCTACATTTTCGTCATCCGCCTTATTATCATCCATCTCCTCAGCTTGCTTCTCCTTCATTTTTTTTGTCCCAGGTGATTCTAAATATAACGATAATGATGAAATAGATTAGGTAATTTGTTTTCCATTGACAAATAACACATTGCTGCAAAGAATACCTAAATGTACGTAAATGACGTACCTGTGACTGATAATTCTTCCGATTCTGGTGGCGGAGTAGTACACAATTCCATCTCCTCAGTGCCACCGGCAATACCGGTGTCGGGATAAGTCCACTGTAATGTCCCAGTGGATGTATTGTGATAGTAATACCGCTTATGCGACCTAGAAAAATCCCCCGACCAAAATGAGATGTCAGTGATGGCAATGCCGGTTTTTCTATTGTAATTCTCTATATTACATTCAATACACGCTTAAATAATGTTTCCGTGGCGAAACATTCGTCGCGGTGTACTCGCGTCACCGGTTTTTCTTAAACGAAAGCAAAAATTAATAGAACATAATCTAGTAAACACTCCTACCTGCAATGTCGTGTCTCGTTTTTACTCGACGTAGGCCTTTCATTACAGGAGAGATGGGAGATGTAATTATGTAATTAACAGAGTGTGTTCTCTCATAGGGAACATTAATATGAGATTACAGCAAAGTGAAGGAGAAGTGAGGTATTGTGACTGAAGTGCAGGGAAAATAATGATGAAAATTAAATCCTAATAATATCTGGTTTATTTGCGATTAGCATGTTCCAAGGATTACCAGATATTGACAAATATAATAGATAGGATAATACTTACATTATTAATCGTCGTTCGTTATCGATTAACGGATAAAATTATAATACCAGATAAATCTCTTGTACACTTTGAAGCGTGTGCGTAAAGATAATGTAGTTTCTTTTTATTGCGCATTTCAAAAAAAATAAATGTATCTAACAAGATAAATATATCTTCGTAAAACTGTACAATATTTGCGTTTGCTTTAATAAATAACACAAAATTAATCTTTATATATATAAAATAAAATTTTCTTTAGTTAATAATCTCTTCTAAAGTCACAATGAAAAAATAAGAAGCGTTTTCTTATTTTAAATAATTATATCATTGTCAACAATAATATAAAATATTCTGTCTATTAAATGCTTTCATGATCATTCATTAAAGAGATACATATTTTTTGCTATATGTATCATTTGTACATTATTATACTAAGCGCGAATTATTAATTCTGTTGCGATTAAAAATATAAGTTTTTTTTCACTTTTTTGCGTGATGTCTTCTTATCTTCATTTTAATAAATATTATTTTGACCTCGCACACTTCTCTCATAATTATTCATAGCACAAACGAATCCATAATCCAAGTAACGCTTGTTACTCGATTATCGCTTGTAGCATTTACATACAAAAATATTGTATATATCACTCAACACGTATTAATTATCACATTGACAATATCACAAGATCAAAGGCTCAATTTAGCACTAAAAAGAATACGTTACACTTCGGAACCGTGATCTTTGCGAGCTTTGCACCTTCACTTAAGCTAAAAAAAACTGTTGCGTACGAGAAAATAAATGTATCAGCTGCATTATTGTTTTAAATTTTAAAAATGTATCTACTAAGACCATCGTATACATAACCATTGTATATAAAGCAACATTGGTTATCGTGAATATTACTAAATTATTATTAATATTTATGACTTATTTTTAGTTTTACTTGATTTGTAAAAAAGTATAAATTGTGTGAAAGCTATCAATTTTTAAAAATATATTTAAATGTATATTAGATCTTAAAAAGTTAGAAATTTATTTAGTATACTCGTATATGCTCTACAAAAAAATGTCATAAATATTAAACGAGATGTTTCTTTAACATTAATAGATCTAGATCTATTAATTAGCTAATTTGCACCTATATAAACTCTTGCTAAAAATAAATTTTTTCAATGATGGATGAAATCATAGCAACAGCAGTACATGACAATCGTATATGTATGTGAGAGTTTGTATGTAAATATAGATATATAAAAATATATATAAATATATTCATTGTATAAATTAATGATACATTTAAAGCCACTGAACATAGATGTCCCCCCCTTGTGAGGTATCTATATTTATATTGAAAAATGCAAATTTTATATGGAATACTGTACCTATCCCATTGACATAGCCAGCCAGCTGGTGCCGCATCTTGCTCTAATCTTTCCAATTCATGATTTGTATTAGTTAGCCATTTTTGAAAGTAACTGTCCTCTAAGCTACCTGTCGTCCATGCAGTAGACAATGTCTGTAAGAAATACAGCAATTTATATTAATAAAATTCATATTAATATTCAATCGTTTCAAAAATGATGTAATGGTGGTGGTGGTGGTGGTGGTGGTG